GGGGTTGTACCATCTTATATTGTAAGCAGATCTTAAAGTTTTAAAGGATATGTGGATTTAGAAGTAGAGGACCTTTTTGCGGGAGCTCGTTGTTAAAGCTGCAGCCTCGTCGCCATCTTGTTTCCTCCAAAAGATCTATTTTCAAATAAACTCTGAACATAAAAGAAAAAAACAAGGTGGTGGAAGAGATGGTGGTAGAAGTGGTGGTAGAAATCCGTAAGGTGACTCCCCAACATCTTCCTGGCTGGCTGGCCGGCCTGACCGAGATGTAGTCATGGAAGGTGGTTGGGTTACTACGGGTTGAGATTTCAAACCTGCAACCAAAGAAGAGGCCAGGTTAGCTTCTCCTCTTGGCTGAATTTTGATGGAAGACACAAGACCCTTTGGCCACCTTTGAAACCTCCCATCCATTAACAGATTTGCTTGAGAAGAACCATCCCAGAATCACAAGAGCAGGGAACCAGAACATCCTAGAAGTTTTCACCTCTTCCTGTTCTCCTGCCTTTCTTTCTTTTAATTCTTCTTCATACCGAGCCCATGAAAATCCCCAAATATGTCCACATTATCCATGCCAGTTCCAAATAGTGCAGCTTCTATTGGCTGACCATGTAGCTGCCCAATAGTAAAGCACAGGATGACACTATTAAATCAAAATGACACAGCTTAAAAAAAAAAAGACACATCCATGTAAAGTCTTCAGCTGTGGATCAGAAAAGCCTTCATGCACTTTTCCATTTTTGGCAACCAAGTTCACTTCCCTTCATTGCTATATTGATTTAGAAACCTTTTAAAACATCTGAATTGAAGTTGGAAGGCTATCCCATTTTTGTACCTGTTTTCTCCACCTGCGTATTTCAGAAAGCGATTCTCCCTACTCTGCAAAGTCTTTTGATGCCTTAAAATATTGGTTACATCTGGTGAACATGTTTAGAAATCTGAGAGCGTATTTTGGGACAGTACACCTACACCTGTGCACTGCCATCCTTCCCAGAAGGATGCATGACAGTGCACAGTGCGCATAACCCAATTCTAACTACAGGTAGTCCTCACTTAACGACCATAATTGGGACCAGAATTTAGGTCGCTAAGCAATGCAGTCATTAAGCAAATCATCAAATGACTAGACTTTTTTTATGACCTTCTTTGCAGCAGTCCTTAAGTGAATCATGTGGTTGTTAAGTGAATCATACGGTCGTTAAGTGAATCATGTGGTTCCCCATTGATTTTGCTTGCTGGAAGCTGGCTGGGAAGGTTGCAAGTGGCGATCACATGACCCCGGGACTCTGCAATCATTGTAAGTGCCATCTGGTTCCCAAGTGCCCGGATCGTGATCATGTGACCTTGGTGGCACTGCAATGGTAGTAACTTTGAACATTGGTCATAAGTCACTTTTTTAAGCACCGTCATAACTTCAAACAGTCACTAAACAAATGGCTCGTAGGCTGAATCTGACAAGGACTACCTGTACTTTTCTATACAAAAGAAAAGTGTGGAGGATGTTTCAAACAACCCTTCTTTCTTCTCCCCACTTCCACTGCTTTCTCCTGTGTCATCTTATTGTTCTCTTTCTTCTCTTTACTTCCAAGCAAAGCACTGGACTGGAGCCACTAACCCCATTTTATTTCCTAAAAACATTTCTGGCACTTCAGTGGAGCCCTGAGATATCTGAAAAATGTAATGCTTGTTTCAGTGCTTTGTGCTAGAGTTACAAATGATATTTGTTGTCAGCAATGCTTCCGCTACTGCATCTGCAAGATATGGTGACCTTCCCACTAAGACTCACCAGTTCTGGGTCCTTCAGGCTTTGCAACTCTGGAGGCTGAGATCTGCAAGGGAACACAGCACAGAATTCCATACAGGGAGTATGGAAAAGCCCTGGTCACCACTTTGGGGAATGCACAGCTTTTCTCCTCCATCAACTGAATGTAGCTCACCAATGGTGCCAAGGAATATAACCAGAAGGAACATGCTGGTCATTCTGGGGAGATATGATGCATTCATCTTCCCGAAGCAGAAAGATCTTCTCTTGGTATCAACCCAATTACTCTTAAATCCCCAGAGGCCAAAACAACAGTTCCTTCATGCAAATCTCTTGCCCCTTTAACTTCTGTCTCTGGCTGGTGGAACAACCACAAGAGGAACATTTGCACCTGTTCAATAGATTCTATCTCTGAAGGGCCTCCTAAATTGTATCTGCTGCACATGACTGGGTTTAAAGGAATTGGAATGGGGCTCAACCTATTTCTGGAAAATGTGATGTGCTGTCAGCCCCACAAGGTAGACAAGACTAAGAAACCAATGCTATATAGGTCAGGACTACTTCCATTAGAACACCTGTAGTAACAGAATCTTGCACATCTGAATATGCTTCCCCCCTCCCTCCCTTAGTCTTTGTGTGAACTAGGGAGGGGCTTGTCTGAGATGTTTTCTCGTGTTATTTTTTTGGCCTGGGCTTGAGTCCCTCTTATCTGACCATTGTCTTGGTAGTGGCACTTCCTCCTGCCCTTCAAGGCCATTCCCTATTCCCTCTACATCTCCAAGGGAATCAGTTGCCTTCAGGTTTCTTGATCCCAGCGAGCAAACGAGCCCTGTTGAACTTGTGGACTCCTCTGGCATTTTAGTTGCTGCCACAACTCTCTAAAGCTTGAGGGTGCAATGCAGGTAGGGAAACATCTCAGAGCACAGGGTGCTAGAGGGAATTCAGAGTCCTATCCATGTATCTGTTGTACATGCAGATCAGCAGCCCTTAGCTCCAAGGAGGTTCTGGTTGAACTTTCCCATGTAGTTGTATCATGGTGTGCAATAATAATCAGCTTCATCCCCTCTGTGAAGATTGGAGATGCTCAAGGGGGCAGAATAGGGAGAATTGTTGACACAGCCAGAGAACTCAGCTGAGATTTTGGAGGGTTTCTTATTGTCCTCGTATATCAGGGGTATGGGGGCACTGCCAGGCTGCTGTTGATACCAGGAGGTGTAGAAACCTCCAATGTTTCCACTGCTTTTGCTACAAGAGACCCTGACTGTTTCTCTAAGGGATGCTGAAAGAGAAGCTGGCTGATTCAGGACAACCTGAGCCAAAAGCCCTAAAAGAAAGCAAAGAGTAAAGAAAAGCTGCAGTCATGGAGGCTGAATCTGAAAGGGGAGAGAAAAGTTAGGTCTGAAAGGAAAGAGTGAAGGCCTCCAAAGAAGCTTCTCTGCTCAGAAAGGTCACTAAGAACCAAAAGGTGGCTCTTCCAGCTCAGAAGGGTTGATGTGAGAAAACTGAAAGCTGTCCATTACCATTGCAGTAAGCAGAGAAGATGAGGAGACGTGCCCAGGCCATGGTTGGAACATGGGATAAAGATCGATAACATGGTTATTGGCTCCAAATGGACCATTATGTGAAGTGCTCTGGGTGAATCTCTGTTGAATGAGATGTAGCCATATTCAACTGATCCCTTTCCTTCCACCCATCATGAAGGCCCTGTTCCAATCGCAGCGTCCTTCTAAAACTCAGACACCGTCACATCCCTAAGAGTCTAAAGGGGTTTGATAGCAGCAAGGAAACAACCTGGAGTTTGAGAAGGTTAGGAGGAACTAAGAACAATATTTCAGAGATTTGCAAGTCATGCATGTCGGAGGTCACCTGCTGCAAGGTTTTAGTTCAGCTCTTCAGTGGGATTGTAACATCGTGTAGGTGTAACTGCCTGCATAACATGAACAATAATAATCAGCTTCATCCTCTGCTTGAAGATTGGAGATGGTCAGTGTGGCCGATTTTGCAGAGTTTTCAAGAGAACCAGAGAATCGTGCTGGGATTCCAGAGGGTCTTTTGCTGTCCTGATATATAATGAGTTTGGGGGCCCCGCCAGGCTTCTGCTGATACCAGGATGAATAGCCTGTTCCAATTGTTCCAC